GGAGGATGAGAAGCGAGAATCGCTTAAACCCGGGCAGCAGAGGTTACGCTGAGCCAAGATCGCGCCACTGCGCACCAGTCTGGGCTACCGAACCAGACTCCGTCTCAAAACAAAAAAAAAAAAAAAAGAAAGAAAGAAAGAAAAGAAAAGAAAAAGAAAAAAAAAGTGTGTGGCACCTCCTGCTCCTCTTGCACCTGCTTTCGCGGTGTGATGCATCTGCTCCCCCTTTGCCTTCTGCCATGATCGGGAGCTTCCTGAGGCCTTCCCAGAAGCAGATGCTGCTACGCTTCCTGTACAGCCTGCAGAACTGTGAGCCAAAGAAACGTCTTTCTTTATAAATTACCCAGTCTGAGGTATTCCTTTACAGCAATGCAAGAACGGCCCACCTCCTTCCTCCGGGGCTGCAGAGGGAAGAAACTGGGGGATAAAGAAGGATGATGGTGAAAAGAAAAACATTTTAAAACCACAGTTACTGCTTAGAACACTTGCTCCTCCCCTCCCACGGGTGAACCATGCCGGACTCTCGACGTGGCAGAGTAGGAAAATATTTATTTATTTATTAGATGGAGTTCTGCTCTGTGGCCCAGGCTGGAGTGCAACGGGGCGATCTCGGCTCACTGCATCCTCTGCCTCCTGGGTTCAAGTGATTCTTCTGCCTCAGCCTCCCGAGTAACTGGGACTACAGGCCTGTGCCACCATGCCCGGCTAATTTTTGCATTTTTAGTAGAGACGGGGTTTCACCATATTGGCCAGGCTGATCTCGAACTCCGGACCTTGTGATCTGCCTGCCTCGGCCTCTCAAAGTGCTGGGATTACAGGCGTGAGCCACCGCGCCCGGCCCAAATTGATTAAAAACAAAAACAACAACAAAAAACAAAAACAAAAAAAACCTCATCTCTCTCTTGGATTTTGCCTCTGCTCGCTGCTCTGGCATCTTTCCTAAGGAAACCGTTTATTTTCCCACCTGAGTTCCTAGTAGAGCATCTCAGTTTTATTCTCGCGTTTGGAGAAAAGCTTAGAGCAAGAAAAATGGCAGCTGGCAGGTGCCTTCACGTCCAGGGTTTCCAGAGAGAAGACATCTCTCCTCCCCAGAGACCCTCCCACGCTCTCCCTCCCTCAAATTAGTGCATCTACATAGACCGCCCTCCTTATAAACAGTCTCTCAGGGGATCCTAGCCCATTGCAAATCTACATGTGATTGATTGCAGAATCCCAAGGAAAGCGCAGATTGCGGGGCGTCGTGTCTTTTAGGGGAGCTGCTCACTTTGGCCACTAGGTGGCGCGCGGTGCAGCCCCCTGCTCCTCCAGAGCCTGAGAGTTCAGCGTGTCTGCCGCCTCGGCCCCACTCCGCAGGGGGCGCTGATGAGATGAGGCTGAGGTCCAGGAAGATGGCAAGGACTTGGTTTTGTAAACAACTCCATTCCTCACTCGCTGATGAGTTTTCTAAGTGATGCATATTCACAACTTTGTCCCATCCAAGGACCCAAGAATTAACACATTACATAATATGGACAGCCCCTCCTGTCCAACGGGCATGATTTTGGGGTCTGATATTCTGTGGATCTGTGCAATAGTCAACACACGTGCTGGGGTGTCCTTGGACACAGCCTACAAGGACACAGATAGGTGCACGCCCAGGCACCAACTCACAATAACCACAAACTTTGTTGAGTGCTTCCGTGTACCAGGCCATCAGCCAGTGTTTTACAAATCATCACACTTTCCTCCCAGAAGCCCTCGGAGGGGGGATCTGAAGGGGGCGAGAGGGTCTCTCCAGTATGAAAGCTCAGATGTTGAGTCCCAGCTGCCCGGATTTGAATCTCGGTGCAGCCTCTTGCTGGGTGTGTGCCAGCTACTGCCCGCCAGCTACTCTACCATGTCTCAGTTTCTTCATCTGCAAGAGGGATAAAAACAGTATCGACTCACAGGCTTGTTATGAGGATGAAATGTGATGAACAGCGTGTGGCATATGTAGTAAGCATGTCACAAACGTTGGCTATTATTATTACCCCATTTTGCAGATAAGCAAACTGAAGATCAGAGAGGTTACGCAACTTGCTCAAGGTCACACAGCCTTATCATTCCACTCTGCCAGACTGAGCTCATCGTCTCTGTTAGTCAGTCTATAGTCTGGTGATACCTCTAGTTTGTACTTGTGGTTTTGATGAGCTGGTTGCTATGTAAATTGAAAACACTTTCTTATTCTGCTAAAACAGTGTGGTCCTCATTTCTAAGAAGTTCCCAGGTGATGCTGGTGCCAGCAGCAGCAGCATCACCTGGGAACTTCTTAGAAATGCAAAAAAAATCTCAGGCCTCCCTCCAGACCTACTACTCAGGTACTCTAGGAATGGGGCCCGGTGGGCTGTTGCAGCAAGCCCCCCAGTGATCCTGACACACATTCAAGTTTGAAAACCCTTGCTATAAAATATGTGTCTCATAAAACTAAGCAGCTAGCTTACATTCAATAAACATTTACCTAGCATGATCTTGGCAGTTCAAAGAGGAATGTGCCAGAAACCAAGCAAAGAAGAAAAAGAAATAAATGGAAATGGAAAGCGATCTACTCAGAAGCCACAAAGTTGAGGGAGGAGGTTTACAGAGTGGAGTTTGGCCCAAATGATGCCTGAGTAAGTATGTAAAGGGGTCTCAACTCTGGCTACACAGCAGAACAGCAGGACTGTGTGTGCAGCTCTCAAAGTGGGTACACAGGGTAATCTGCAAGTTCTGGATGGATCTAGCACCTGGATTGTTAAAAGTTGCATAGACCACCAGCGTTCATACTTTCTGCTTGTTTGTACAAAGTCACTCTTCTAGAGTAATTGTTGTAATATTGCTAGGCAAGGTGGCAGGTCTGATAAGATTTGAGGAAGTGATGGCTCTTAGTCGCTAATAAGAGGCTTTTGTGGAGTGGCATGTCACAGCCAGGGAAGGCTCAGCTCTGTGGTCTTCGCCTGCCTCACTTGGGGGACCAGAAGGCAGCTTGTCCCGGAACTGCCTCATTCACAGAAGGCCCCAGTGAGTACAGAAACTGCACATTAAAGGGAGGAGTAAGGAAGATAAGATGGCGAATCCTCAAAAATTAAACAAGATTACCTTTTTTAAAATTTATTTATTTTTGTAGAAATGGGGTCTCACTTTGTCACCCAGGCTGGTCTTGAAATCCTAGGCTCAAGCAGTTCTCCCATCTCAGCCTCCCAAAGTGCTAGATTTACAGGTGTGAGCCACCCACCCCAGCCAGAATTACCACTAAAAAAAAGAAAAAAGGTTAAGATGGTAAATTTTGTTGTGTATATTTTACCATTGTGATCCAGCATTTCCACTTCTGGGTACACACCCTAGAGAATTGAAAGCAGAGTGTTGAGCAGGTATTTGTACAACCCTGTTGATAGCAGCACTATTCACAATAGCCAAAGGTGGAAGCAACACAGGTGTCCATCAGTATACGAATGGATGAACAGAATGCAGCACACATGCCCAATAGGATATTACTCAGCCTTCAAAAGGAAGGCAGTTCTGGCCAAGCATGGTGGTTCATGCCTGTAATCCTAGCACTTTGGGAGGCCTAGGCGGGCGGATCCTTTGAGGTCAGGAGTTCGAGACCAGCCTGGCCAACATAATAAAATATGATAAAACCTCGTCTCCACTAAAAATACAAAAAGTAGCCAGGCAGCGTGTGCCTGTAATCCCAGCGACTCAAGAGGCTGAGGCAAGGCTGGGCACAGTGACTCATGACTGTAATTCCAGCACTCTGGGAGGCCGAGGTGGGCGAATTGCCTGAGCTCAAGAGTTTGAGACCAGCCTAGGCAACATGGTGAAACCCTGTCCCTGCTAAAATACAAAAGAAATTAGCTGGGCGTGGTGGTGTGCACCTGTAGTCCCAGCTACTCGGGAGGCTGAGGCAGGAGAATTGCTTGAACTCAGGAGGCAGAGGTTGCAGTGAGCCGAGATCATAACACTGCACTCCAGCACTCCAACACTCCAGCTTGGGTGACAGAGCGAGGCTCCGTCTCTACAGAAACAAACAAACAAACAAACAAAAAATGCTCAGGCAGGAGAATAGCTTGAACCTGGGAGGCAGAGGTTACAGTGAGCCAAGATCACACCACTGCACTCCAGCCTGGGCAACAGAGCGAAACTCTATCTCGAAAACAAAAGAAAGAAAAGAAAAAGAGAGTGCTCCAGAGATGGATGGTGGTGATGGTTGCAGAACAATGTGAATGTACTTAGCACCCTTAACTGTACACTTAAAAATAATTAAAATGGGCCTAGCACGCTGGCTCATTCCCATCATTTGGGAGGCTGAGGTGGGAGGATCGCTTGAGCTCAAGAGTTTGAGACCAGGCTGGGCAACATAAGAAAGACTCTGTCTCTACAAAAACTACAGAAATTAGCCAAGCCTGGTGGCTGCACACTTGTAGTCCCAGTCACTTGGGAGGTTGAGGAGGGAGGGTCACTTGAGCTCAGGGGTCGGAGGCTGCCATGAACTGTGATTGTGCCACTGCACTCCAGCCTGGGGAACAAAAGCAAGACACTGTCTTAAAAACAACAACAACAAAATATCGGCTGGGCATGGTGGCTCTTGCCTGTAATCCCAGAACTTTGGGAGGCCGAGGCAGGCAGATCACTTGAGGTCAGGAGTTCAACACCAGCCTGACCAACATGGTGAAACCCCGTCTCTACTAAAAATACAAAAGTTAGCCGGTCGTGGTGGCGGGTGCCTGTGGTCCCAGCTACTCCACGGGCTGAGACACAAGAACCACGTGAACTCAGGAGGCGGAGGTTGCAGTGAGTCGAGATCTCACCACTGTATTCCAGCCTGGGTGACTGAGACTCAGTCAAAAAAAAAAAAAAATTAAAACGGTAAATTCTGTTGTGTACGTTTTACCACAATTAAAAACAAAAAGGCAGTGTGGAAGAGGAGCTAAATGAGGCTAGTGTAGGGTGGGAACCTGGGCACAGGAAGCACGTCACTTCTGGTCGGGGGGAGGGAGAAAACTGAATAACAAGTTGTGAACTGGGCAGCTGTGACACGTGCATCTTGTCACCTTGTCACCAATTTCCTGCCCGGGATCCCAGAGCCACCCATGTTGGAGCCCACAGGGGTAAGGTCGAGCTTCTCACTTTCCCTCCAGTGAAGCTTGGCGGCATGGGAAGAATTTTGGCAGTGTCGAGGTCTGAGTTTTAGTGCGTTCCCCTCTCCGGGCATCAGTTTCTCCCTGGTAAGTACAGGGGCTGGAGAATCCCCAGCGCTCCTGTGGCTCGACATGCCGTCCTCCGTGAAGCTCCTGCCCTGCCGGGTCTCCGAGCTCACGCACTTGCCCTGGCGCTCCTTTCCTGATTTGTCTCCGCTCTCTCCTTCCTCTGCTCTGCCATATTGTTGGCCGATGTAGAAATGTGGGGCTGCCTCCTTATTTAGGGGCCCTCGTGGGCTATGATCTGAACCATTTGAGCTGAAGCAGAGGGGAAGGGACAGTCCCTGTTCTCCACGGCAGGCGCAGTGGGTTCATAATGAATCTCAGTTGCTCACATCCTACCTGCCTCGGTTTGAGGGGGTCTTTCCTAACCTATGGCTCACATTCCCATGAAGCCTCTTCTTTCTAGGCATGTAGAAAGGTCCTTTTTCCCTTTTATTATTTTTTGTAAAATTTACTAGGTAACACATAAAAAGCATATGTAACATACATATCATCATACTGCTCAGTAATATACCAAACACCCCCGAAGCTGCCACTCACTCAGCACAAGGATAGAATATCACCAGACTGCAAACACCACTTATCTGCCTTTTTTTTTTTAAATTTTTTATTTTTTGAGACAGAGTTTTCATTCTCGTTGCCCAGGCTGCAGTGCAATGGCGCAATCTTAGCTCACCGCAACCTTCACCTGCTGGGTTCAAGCGATTCTCCTGTCTCGGCCTCCCAAGTAGCTGGGACTATAGGGGCGCATGCCACCATGCCCAGCTAATTTTTGTATTTTTAGTAGTGACAAGGTATCACCATGTTGGCCAGGATAGTGTCGATCTCTTGACCTCGTGATCCACCCGCCTTGGCCTCCCAAAATGCTGGGATTACAGGTGTCGGACACTGCGCCAGGCCACCACTTGTCCACTTTTATGCTACTTGCCTCCCACCCACAGCTATCCACCCTCTGGAATTTTGTGTTTATTGTTCTCTTGATTATTTTTAGGTGCTTTATTACATATGCATATCTATGTATTTATTTACTGAGATGGGGTCACACTATATTGTCCAGGCTGGAGTGCAGTGGCTATTCACAGGCATGATCATAGCACACTACCGCATCGAACTCCTGGGATCCAGTGATCTTCCCACCTCGGCCTCCTGATTAGTTGGGACTATAGTCTTGAACTGCTGTGCCCGGCTACCCTATTTATTTTAATTTGATGAAATAGTTATATAGCATTACTGTGTGCTAGGCACTGTTCTAAATGCTTTAAAATATTTACTTATTTTATTTGTTTAATCTGCACAAAAACCCTATGAGGAAGGTACTATTATTGATTCCATTTTGCAGATGAGGAAATTGAGGCACAGAAAGATTAAGTGATCTGCTCAAGGTCACACAGATAGTAAGAAGTAAGGCCAGGCACGTGTGGCTCACGCCTGTAATCCCAGCACTTTGGGAGGCCAAGGCGGGAGGATCACAAAGTCAAGAGATAGAGATAGAGACCATCCTAGCCAACACGGTGAAACCCCATCTCTACTAAAAATACAAAAATTAGCTGGATGTGATGGCATGCGCCTCTAGTTTCAGCCATTCGGGAGGCTGAGGCAGGAGAATAACTTGAATCCGGGAGGTGGAAGTTGCAGTAAGCCAAGATCACGCCACTGCACTTCAGCCTGGGTGATAGGATGAAACCCTGTCTCAAAAAAATAAAAATAAAAATAAAAATAAAGAAGTAAACACAAGGACATGTCTGGTTCTTAGTGTGACAGTGTTTCTAGGGCATACATCTAAGAATGGAATTGTGAGTTACAGGGTATAAGAATGTTGAGTTTATAAGATAATGCCTAATTATCTCCGAGAGCACCAGTATACGCTCTCATCAGCAATTAGAAGGGTGCCTATTAACCTGTGGCCTCTCCAACAATTGGTCTTGTCAGATTTTTTAACTTTTGCCAATCTAATGCATATAAAATAATATCTGTCCCATTGTAATTTTAATTTTAATTTCCCTGGCTACTCTTGAGCTGAAGAATCTTTTCACTTCTTTAGACATGCCTCCTTTTCTTTGAAATGTTTCTTTGTGTCTTTTTTTTTTTTTTTTTTTTTTTTTTGAGACAGAGTCTTGCTCTGTCACCCAGGCTGGAGTCCAGTGGCGCCATCACGGCTCACTGCAAGCTCCACCTCCCAGGTTCAAACCATTCTCCTGCCTCAGACTCCCGAGTAGCAGGGACTACAGGCGCCCGCCACCACGCCAGGCTAATTTTTTTGTATTTTTAGTAGTGACGGGGTTTCACAGTGTTAGCCAGGATAGTCTCAATCTCCTGACCTCATGCTTCACCCACCTCGGCCTCCCAAAGTGCTGGGGTCACAGGCGTGAGCTACCATGCCCGGCCTATTTATTTGTGTCCTAGTCAAAGTTACCAATTGTTGATTTTATTATTGACAATTTTGAGGTCTTGCCCCAAGGATATGGATATACTCTCCTATATTTTCTTATGAAGATTTTCTTTCACATATAAATCCTTAATCTAAATGGAATTGATTTCTATATTTGGTGTGAGATAGGGTTACATTTCACCCCTTTTTTCTCCATATGGTTAATCAATTGATCCAGCATCATTTAATAGACCCTTCTTTTACCCAGTGATATTCTATGTTATCTTTGCATCAAAGTTTCAAACAAGCATAGGTGTATTTCTGGGCTCTTTATTCTGTTTCATCAGTTAATTTGCCTATACCTACACTAACACAGTATCTTACAGAAAGTCCTAATATCTAGCAGAGCAAATCCCTCCCTTATTCATTTCCGTTAGGAGTGTCTTGGTTCTTTTGTTCTTCCATATAAACCTTAAAATCAGCATTCAGTTTCCATGAGCAACCTTATTGGGGTTAATTGGAATTGCACTGACCCTGTAGATCAGTTACAGAATAATTCACATCTTTATAATATTGAATTCCTACCCATGAACATGTGTTATCTCTCTGTCTATTTAGATTGTCTTTCATATTTTTCAATGAAGTATTGTAATTTTCTTACTATAGGTCTTGTAGTTCCAGGTTTTGTTAGTTTTGTTGCTCTACTTTTTTGACTGTTGTAAATGATGTATTTTTTAAATTATGTTTTTGTATGTTACTGATATACACAAGAACAACCAATTTTTGAATGTTGATCTTTTAGCTAGTTGCCTTGCTAAAATCTCTAATTACTTTGAATCATTTGCCTGATGATTCTTTTGGATTTTCTACCTAGGTAGTCATACCGTATACAAATATTGATGGTTTTGGTTGCCTTTCCTTCCTTCCTTTCTTCCTTTTCTCCTTCCTTTCCTTTTACTGCAATGTATAAGACCTTTGGTACAATATTAAATAGAGGCAGAAATCATAGGCATCTTTGTCTCTTCCTGATTTTAAAGGAAATTCTCCTAAGATTTACTCATTAAAAACAATAGGTAAGTTTGTGTAAGTTTTCTTTATCAGGTTAAGAACATTTCCTTCTAATTTGCTAAGAGCTTGTATCATAAAAGGGTGTTGAATGTTGTCAATTTTTTAAAGCTGTTGATATTATCATATTTTTTCTTTTTAAATCTGTTAATGTAAGTTTTAGTTTGGGCTCCTTTTGCTCTAAAGCAAAATCCTTTGTTCCAAAGCACAGGCTGGAGCAAGGACTTAGATTCAGATAGGTTATTTGAGAGGTGATTCCAGGAAGCAGGAAGTGAAGGAGCAGGGAAAACAGATAGGAAGGAAGGAAAAGCCCATTTAAAGGAGGGTGACTGATGTTGCAGCTGTAGGCGACGGAAGCTTATTCTGCTGAGACCTCTGATAAAACTACAGGATGTCTCCAAGAGTTGCCCACTGGCAAGAAGGAGGCTGGAAAGTATATCCACTGGCTCCTGTTCCCCCATGGGGTGAGGATCACATTCTAGGGACCTTAACTCTCCCACACTCCTGGGAATCACTAGCTGGCAAGTAAATTGTTCCTAAAGCATCGAAGAAGACCCTGAGGCAAAAAGCAAAAAGAAGCTTGGTATAAGTTTGGGAGTAGGTGGAGGGGCACTGGCAGCTTAAAGGGAATCTAGGCTTGCACAAAATTATCCACTGTAGGGACAGCTGAAATCAGCAGAGGGCAGAAGTGGTATGACACAGAGCACCAAAGTCTACTATTACCAACATAATAAATAATGTTTATAGACATTTCGTCTGTTGTTAAACCATCTTTGCATACGTGAGACAAACCCAACTAGAACATGATGTCTTTTTTTTTATACTGCCAGATTTGATTTACCAGTATTTTTCTTGTAACTGTTGCATTTATAGTCATGAGTGAAAGGGGCCTCTAATGTTGCTTTCTCTTCTTGCACTTGTCTTGTTTAGATATTAAGGTTACACTGGCCTCATGGAAAGGGTTAATGTTTTCATTTTTTCCATTCTCAGAAAGAGTTTTTATAAAATTAGAATTACTAATCAGGCACCGTGCTGTGTGCCTATAGTCACAGTTACTGGAGAGACTAAGGCAGGAAGATCTCTTGAGCCCAAGAGTTTGAGACTAGCCTGGGCAATATAGCAAAACTCCATTTCTAAAAAACTAAATAAATAATAATAATTTTTTTAAAAGAGTTACCCTTACTTGAACTTCTGCAAAAACCATCTAGACCTGGTATTTTCTTCATGGGAAGATCTTTAAATTGCTGATTCAAGTTTTTTTGTTTTATTTTATTTTTTCCTTGGAGACACGATCTCACTTTGTTACCTAGGCTAGAATACAGTGGCGTAATATCAGTTTACTGCAGCCTCAACCTCCCAGGCTCAAGCTATCGTCCTAACTCCACCTCCCAAGTAGTTGTGACTACAGATGTGTGCCACCACGCCAGGCTAATTTTTGTATTTTTTGTAGAGATGGGTTTTGTCATGTTGCCCA